TTTCATGAGTCACCAACTGATAATCAATAACATATAGTCAGTAACTCAGGGCAATTATGTCTCCTTCCTTTAACTTATACAGTGTTCATGTTTTTAAAGTGTTATAAGAAAGAAAAATCGTTAATTACTACATGAACTCACACCTTATACTTGTTAGGTGTGAGTATAATGTAAACCATTATACTCACATCTAAAATTATAAAATACATAAATTTCAACAAATAGGTTATAAAACATTTTATAAATTAAATATTTTTTCTGTGATTTGATATTTTAGAAAATATTACTCATAACCTAAGAGAAAAATATTTGTGGACAGGCTTAGATCTGTTCCAAAAAGTACAATATAAATATTATACAGGCTATAAACAGAATATGACTTCTGAAAATCATAGTCTTTCCCTAGAAATTCATCCTTTGTACCAGACTATGAGTAGTCTCCCCTTTATAGCATTGGTCATTTTGTTAGATGCCTCTTCACTTACATAATGAAGCATAAAGCATCCTTTTAAATGAATATCCCTTATATCAAGTTTATAGTTTTCTGAAATTTTTGCTATTCCTCCTTTTGTTTATTTTATAATGACCATTTATATCAGGAGGTATTGTTAGGAGGTATTGCTAAGAACTACAATTTGAAGATATTTTAAGAGAGCGATTTTACACACTGTATAATAAATCCATTAATTTGACCAGTTTTGAAAGTTAAAAATTTTATACATTATTTAGAATAAGGGATCTTTTATTTTTGTTATACTACACTGTCTATTAAGTCAATGGGACAATACATTGTATTATGGCAAAAAAAGTTCTTTTTAAGTTCCTCTGAAGTTCAAGAAATGAAACCCAACATCATTTCAGATTAGTAGAAACAAAGGTAAAAATCAATAAAAGTCAATTAAATATCAATTTAAAAAGTCAATAAAAATGTGAGTAAAGATGAATTACCATTGTCCAAGAGAACAGGGGCTGACCAACTTTTTCTGCAAAGAGTCAGATAGTAAATATTTTAGGCTTTGCAGGATATAGAATTTTGATTGCAAGTATTCAACTTTGCTTTTGCAGCCAAGGCAATATATAAATGAATTAGTGTGGAATGTTCCAATAAAACTTCATCTATGAATAGTAAAATTGAATTTGCAAATAATTTTCATGTGTCACAAAAGATTATTCTCCTTTTGAGTTTTTCCAGTCATTTAAAAATGCAAAATCCATGCCTTAGCTCATAAGTCATACAAAAAGATGACAGGCTGTATTTGGCCTATGGGCCATAATTTGCCCCTGTGATAGATTAAGAGTTTCTTGAGGATAGGGAATACACCTTATTTTTTTAATTCTAGCACTCAGTATGGCATCAAATACATATTAAGAATTAAAAATACCAAACTTGATGAATGAATCAAAGTAGTGGATGAAAACTAAAATGTATTATATAGGCTTTGATTAACTCTTTAATTCATGATCAAAATAATATATTAGTATACAGTCCTTCATTCTGGTGTAGCATAGTACTCAAATGTGATGAAAATTATTTTCACTTTATAAATATTAAGTAGCTTAATATTTTCTAATTACCATAACATACTAAATATTTCTTTTTAATTATATAGATCTTTTAATGCTTAATCTTTGATTCTCTTCTAGAATTTACATCTAAAAGATTTTCACTTCAACTCACTTATATACCCTTAATTATACTTTTACTTTTAAAAAGTAATTAAAAACTACACAATAATACCTATTTTGGAGATAAATCATATTGAAAAGATAATGGGACATGAAGAGATAATACTTTGTATGGTAATGAGTTCTTATGTTCCACAGAATATTATAATAATTAGCATTTCACTAATGTCAACAGACTATTCAACCTTTTTATAAGATCAGAGATAATGCAATTAGTTTTTTTAAAAATAAAGCTTTTCATATGAAAATAAAACTCTAAAATGTTGAAGAGAATGGATTATTATGATATATGTTAGCTTTGATAGTATCTCATGTTTAAAGGCAGAGAGCAGGCCAGCAGGCATGTAACTATCAGACGAACTATATTCTAGGATACAAAGCATAAAAATAGAAACAAATTCATAATTTAGAAAAATCCATTGATTGCATTATTCCTATAAAATATGTAAATAGGATATACTTTTCTAAACTTGTTATTCCTTATTTTTTAAATAGACCTGGGAAGAAATCTAAGTCTATTAAACTTTTCATTTTCTCTACAGCTCATTCCCACTGGTAAGTTTAGAATGCTTTATTTCTTTCATTCAGTTTATTTTCCCCCTTCATTTTTCCCTAACAACACACACATCTCACAAACAATCATCCTTTCTGATTGTAGATAAAACTAATTATTGAAAATTACTCACTGTAAAATACTAGTATGTGAAGGGAGAAGTTTTATATTATTTTATATTTACCATTAATGTTTGTGTTTTCTATCAGTAACTTCTGAGTCTACTTAAAAATATTTGCAACCCTAAGTGTTATACAGGTAAATGTGGTCTAGAAACTGTTTCCTCTCTTTTCAGGCATAATTATGTAAGACAAGCAAGTGAAAGACAAATAACTATATTATTACAAGCTCAAAATGGTATTTCTGGATTCCGGTCATCTCAGTGTTGTTTTTAAATATTACAAGAATTGCAACTATTCATGGGTGTAGAGGAAATGGGAAATTAGTAGAACTATTTTGGGTGGCCCTATATTGCTTTCATGTTTATTTTTTCAAAGACTTAACAGTCCAATGGACTTTTGCTGTACATAATACCATATATATTTATATATAAAATATAAAGGGATTCTATTAAAGATTAAGAATTCATAATCACCTGTTTTCAAAAACAGAGAATACATATACATGTGTATTTTTAAATCATTAAAAAATAACCTAATACAATTTTACCCAGTTGGTTGCTATAGGTATATATGAATATAAGAATATAAGAACACCTCAAAGTTTTACAGGTAGCTGAAGAATAAAGAACTTCTTAAGATCATAGAAAGGGATAGACTTTTGTCAACTAACAGTCCCCCCAAAAGGGAATGGGAGAATAAACAGATATTAGAATGGTAGAAATTTAAGACTCCTGATTTATATGGAGATGTAAAAAGTAAAATACAAAGCTTACTATATCAAAGTTTAAAATAATAGGATTGTGACAATTTCATGGACATACTTTAAATCTAGTATAAGATTTTTTGTTCATTTGGTAGTTACATACAAAAAACACTATCAGATTTCTCCACTTGGTAGTTATATAGTAACTAATAAAAAATCTTTACCCCTTATAAGTTAACCCTTACCTTGCACTAGTACTGAATCCTCACATTTACCCTGATAGATAAGTATTTTTTAATTTTGCTCCTTTTACAGGAATCTGAGGCACAGAGCAGTTTAGTCTACAGCCAGAATTCAAAGGTTTAAATTTTCAGCCTAGTATTTTGGTATTGAAACTCTATAGAATACAATAGTACTAAACTTTGTGATATAAATTATTTTTCTATAATTAAAAATAATATTATCTGGTTATAAATGAATTCATGGTAACTTTTTTATACTTTTCTGATGTGAAAATAAGTAATATGAAAATATCAAACCATCACACACTAAAATAGAGACATATAAACTTAATTTCATTTACTTCAAACACAACACAACACTTAACTTCAAAAGTTAATGCCTTCACATATGTAGGCAATTTTCTTATAAACAAAACAAAACAAACACATCTCTACGGGAGATAGCTTCCCTCCAACTGTACTTATTAGTCTCACAGTTTTTATAAGAAGTGTAAAAGTTGGTCAAAGGACCATTTCCCCTTAGGGCCCAGGAACTAAATAAATTATGCAAGGATGACTTCATTTTTAAAGACTTGAAGTTACGGATTTCTCCATATAACACTATTATAATTGACTTAAAAGTAAAACCATTTTATTTATAAGCCTACAAATAATAGTATCCAGAAAATTTCTGTGTCATGATTTTTACATGGAATAGAAATTAATTTACAACTTGTTTAAAAATTTGTAATTTCATATACTAAAACAGTGGTTCTCAAAGTTTGGAAGTAGGGTCTATTGGCCAGTAACATCTGCATTACCTGGAGCTTTGTTAAAAATACAAAATTTCAGCACCCATTGCAGATTTTACTGAATAAGACACTCTGTGGGTAGTGCCCAGCAATCTGTTTTAAGAAGCCCACTTTGTGGTGCAGGATAAAGTTTGAAAAAGACAGTATAATATTTAATATGTGCAGAGCAAAAAGTATCATGCTATTAATGAGATAGTAGATAGTGTACTGGTTTGAAAATAGAAGGATACAGTTAACATTAACTTGAAATTCAGCCAAGAAACACTTTTTGGGAGAGGTAAAGGAAACAATGCATATAACTCTAAAATGACACCGGGTTTACAGCTTCCTTAAAAAGAAAGACTTTTCCCCCGAACCACTGAGCACTGGCTACTCTTCACTCTTTCCCTAATTTCCACCGCCCCCCCCCGCACCCCGTGCAAAGGTTGAGGTAATTCTTGTGGCATAAAGCCTAAATATTAATTCTGCTTTTTGACTTATTAAATTCACATTTAAAATGATAGAATATACAACTTTTTCTCATTAAAAGAACAGTAATACTGGTATAAATATTCTATTGCAACCATTCTACTGTGCTTTAAGACCAGTGACAAGTGTATATAAGAAAAGAGAAATCAGATACATTCCGAAGTATATTAAGAAAGCACATCAGACCAGATATCATGCTAAGAGTCAGAGTTCTGATATCACCTCCTCTGACAATATGCCTGAATTTTAGCTGATAACCAGAGACCACTGAGCAAATGCAGGAGTATCTTCTGCATCAGCTCATTCTTCCTCATATTCTATCACTTCTAGCTTAAGTACAAAGAAAAAAGTCAAGAAACATTTTAGATAATTTTTCCACAGTAAGTTTTTCACATCCTCAGCACATGAATATAAGAAAAGCATATTCTATCTCACCTCTGGAGTGACATCTCGTGGTGCAAACCCTGTTCCTCCAGTTGTTAATATCAAATTAAGTTCCTTTTCATCACACCAATCTATCAGGGTTTCCTGAAAGAAAACAGTAATAATGTCATATACAGAAGGATGTTTCTGTCTGCTCAAAATATCCACACACTCAAATATATTATGTATAGTGAAGAAAAACAGATTCTTTTCAACAATCAACATAAAAATTCTGAAGCACAATTCATGGAACAATTTCACTGTTAATGAAAACACACTGCAGTTTTGGGTACTTAGTTTACTCATAGAAAATAAGGCAGTTTCATTTTTAGTTTTCTGAGGAAATGCCATACTATTTTCAATGGTGGCTGCATCAGTCTGCATTCCCACCAACAGTGCACTAGGGTTCCCTTTTCTCCACAATCTCGCCAGCACTTGTTGTTTGTTGATTTGATTATGATGACCATTTTGGCCAGTGTGAAGTGGTATATTATTGTGGTTTTAATTTGCATGTCTCTGATGGCTACTGATGCTGAGCATCCTTTTATATGGGCCTTCTGTATGTTCTCCTTGGAGAAGTGTCTGCTCATGTCTTTTTCCCATTTTTTAATTGAGTTGTGTTCCTGGAGTGAAGTTGTGAGAGTTCTTTATATATTTTGGAGATCAAACCCTTGTCTGAGGTATCAGTGGCAAATATGTCTTCCCATACAGTTGGTTATCTCTTAATACTGTTTTCTTTAGCCATGCAGAAGCTTTTTATTTTGATGAAGTCCCATTTGTTTATTTTTTCATTTATGTCCCTTGTTCTAGGGGACAGATCAGTGAAAATATTGCTGCTTGGAATGTCTGAGATTTTCCTGCCTATGTTCTCCTCTAGGACTTTTATGGTGTTGCAACTTACATTTAAGTCTTTTTTCCATATGCAAGCATCAAAGTCTTGAAAGTAAATGAAACATGTTTACTTTCAATGAAATACCATAAGTTTATAACTAATGTTTGTTATATACTCATATGGCATATCTAAGTTACTTAAACATATTTTATTGTTTATGCCATTACTGTTATCTCAATTTCCCCCTTTCACATATCTAAGTTCTTTTCAGCCATTCAAAATCTATTCAGGTATAAAAAACTGAACACTATCTATGTGTCATTTATTTGATCTCATTATTAAAAACTGCACCAATCCCACTCTGTAAATATTCATACTTCAATTTCCTATTTAAAGAAAGAGACTCATTCATTTTTCAGTAATGGACTCTGAGAGATCAAGAAACTTATTTGCTTATGGGCTCAGAAACTAAAGGAGAAAGAGCTAGGATTCAAACCAGATCTGTGGGACCCTCAATATATGTTTCTCTATATTCTACCTGTGATTGTCAATATTTTCCACTAAGTCTCAAGTTTGCTATGGAAGTTTTACAGTATTTGGGGATTTATTTTACATGGTTGCCTTAAATAAAAGATGTAGGAATAAATGATTGCTTACAATTTTTCCCCCCACAATACTATGACATGTATAGAAGCTACCATTACAGAATTATATCCTAAAAAATTTTGAGTTAGTAGAGTCTTTTGAAGATTTGGCGCTTATCAAATGCTTTCCTGTATCTATTGATACAATCACGTGATTTTTGTCTTTCCTTTTGTTTATGTGATGTATTATGTTTATTGATTTGTGAATATTGTACCATTGTTGCATCCCTGGGATGAATCCCACTGGGTCATGGTGTATGATCTTTTTAATGTATTGCTGGATGCAGTTTGCCAGTATTTTGTTGAGGATTTTAGTGTCTATGTTCATCAGCAATATTGGCCTGTAGTTTTCTTTCTTGAAATTAGGATGATGTTGGCTTTGTAAAAAGAGTTGGGGAGTCTTCCTTCTTCTTGGATTTTTTGGAATAGTCTGAGAAAGATGGGGGTTAGCTGTTCCTTAATGTTTTGTTAAATTCTCTCGTGAAACCATTAGGTCCAGGGCATTTGTCTGCTGGGAATTTTTTGATTACCATTTCAATTTCATCAGCTGTTATTGGTCTGTTCAGGCTTTCTGATGCTTCTTCATTCAGTTTTGGAAGATTTTATTTTTCTAGAAATTTGTCCATTTCACCTTGGTTTTCAAATTTCTTGGCATATAGTTGTTCGTAATAATTTCTTACAGTCCTTTGTATTTCTGTGGTATCCACTGTAATCTTTCCTCTTTCATTTCTGATTGTGTTTATTTGGGTCCTCTCTCTTTTTTCTCCATGAGTCTGCTTAAAAGCTTGTTGATTTTGTTTATCTTTTCAAAGAACCAGCTCCTGGATTTATTGATTCTTTGGATTGTTCTTTTAGTCTCTATGTCGTTTAATTCTGCTCTGATTGTGGTTATATCCTTCCTTCTACTTGCTCTGGACTTTGTTGTTCTTCCAGTTTTTGTAGATGTAGGTTGTTTATTTGAAAAGTTTCTATCTTTTTTTAGGTACGCCTGTATCACTATGAACTTCCCTCTCAGGATTCCCTTTGCTGTGTCCCATAAGGTTTGGACTATTGTGAGTCCATTTTAATTTGTTTCCAGAAACTTTTTGATTTCTTCTTTGATCTCATTATTAACCCACTCACTGTTTAATAGGATGCTACTCAATCTCCATGAATTTGAATGTTTTTGAGTTTTTTCGTCTAGATTAGTTTCCAGTTTCAGGCCCTTTGGTCCAATAAAATGCATGATATAATTTCAACTTTCATGCATTTTTTGAAGCTTGTTTTGTCCTAATATGGTCTATGTTTAAAAATGTTCGATGTGCATTTGAAAATAATGTATATTTTGCTTCTTTGGGATGAAAGGTTCTATATACACCTGTTCAGTCCATTTGATCTAGGGCATTGTTAAATGCCACAATATCCTTGTTGATAATTTGTTTGGAAGATCTATCCATTTTGGACAGTGGGGTGTTAAAATCCCCTAATATAAGTATGTTGCTGTCTATATCTTTCTTGAAGTCCCCCAAGACTTTCCTTATACATTTGTGTACTCCTATACAGGGTGCATATATGTTTACAATGTTTATGTCTTCTTGATGACTTCTTCCCTTGAGTATTATGAAGTGTCCTTTGGTGTCTCTTTTTATGGCTTTTGTTGAAGTCTATTTTGTCTAGGTATTGCTACCCCAGCTTTTTTTCTTGTTATTTGCTTGGAATATGTTTTCCCAACCCTTCACTTTCAGTCTGTGTAGGTCTTTCTTCTAAGGTGGGTCTCTTGTAGGCAGCATATGTGTGGGCCATGTTTTCTTATCCATTCAGCTATACGCTATGTCTTTTGATTGGAACATTTAATCCATTAACATTTAAGGTTATTGATAGGTACTTATTCATTTTACCCTTTTTGTAGTTGTGTTCTTCTCTCTCTCTCTCTCTCACTCTTTTCCTTCCTGTTCTTATAGTAGTCCCTTTAGCATCTCTTGCAGTGATACTTTGGTGGGGGTGTATTCTTTCAGCCTTCTTTTGTCTGGGAAACTCCTTATTTGGCCTTCCATTTTAATTGAGAGCCTCACTGGGCAGAGTAGTCTTGGTTGCAGGCTTTTGCTTTTCATTATTTGGAATATTTCTTGCCATTCTTTCCTGGCTTTCAGTATTTCTTTTGAGAAATCAGATGCTGGCCTTATCAGAGTTCCTTTGTATGTTTACTTCTCATTTCTCCCTTGCTGCTTTTGAGATTCTTTCTTTGTCTTTAAAACTTGGCATTTTAATTATGATGCATCTTAGAGTAGGCCTCTTTGGGTTCATCTTGATTGGGACCCTCTGTGCTGTCTGAACTTGTGTGTATTTTCCTCTCTCCAAGTTCAGAAAGTTTTGTCATTATTTTTTCAAACAGGGTTTCTATTCCTTGCTCCTTTTCTTCTCCTTCTGGTATTCCTATGATTCGAATGTTGTTGTGTTTCATGTTGTCTGCAGTTCCCTTAAGCTATCTTCATATTTTTTGAGTCTTTTTTTGTGTAGCTGCTCCACCTTGGTGTTTCTTTCTACCTTGTCTTCCAGCTCACTGATTTGGTCCTTTGCTTTACCCAGCGTGCTTGTAATTCCTTCTAGTGTGTTTTTTTTTTATTTCAGAAATTGTATTCTTCATTTCTTTCTGGTTATTGTTTATAGTTTCTATTTCCTTTTTCATACTGTTGTAGCTCTTGCTCAGTTCCTTGTAGTTGTCTGTGAGCTCCTTGAGCATCCTTATAACCATTCTTTTGAATTCCATATGTGATAGTTTGCTTGCCTCTATTTCATTTAGCTCTTTTAGTGGGGAATCTTCCATTCCTTTCGATTGCAGGTTCTTTCTTTGTCTCCCCGTTTTAGTTGAGTCTTTTTGTTTCTATGATTCCCAATGCTCTGCTTTGCTAGCTGTCTTTGTAGGGTGAACTTCTATGGTAGGAATTCTGTAGGACTCAGTAGTATGATCTCTTTGACCTCTTTACCTCTTTGTCTGGATGCTCTAGGGTTATCCTTTATCCCATTTGTGTGGCTTCCTTATTGTACTCGGGGTTTACCTTTGGTGGCTCCTTTGTTGGGTTCTCTCCTCCAGCGGGTTTACTGGTATCACAACTCCCACCTTGTCTTGCATGTGATGAGGGGCATCTGTTTTAAAATGTCCTCTGCAATCTTCGGCTTCCAAACTTCATATAAGCTGGGATTCTGTTGGCTGTTCACTCTGTCTTCAGAAGATTGGTGTCCTAGTTGGGTGCACGAACAAGTGGGTTCAGCTCCCATCTACCTTGCCGCCATCTTTTGCCTCCAAAACTCCTGATTCTTTTAAATTAAAACCATGAATTGTAAAGCTAATTATACATAATTAAAGTCTACATTAAATTATTACTTACTAGTTCTTTAATCTTTTCCATTTTGTCACTATTGTGCCCATGCTGTGAAATAAGCTTACTTAAAACATTGTGTATTGTGTGAGTCTATAACCTTTTTTTAAAGAGCTTTATTTAGATAGATTTCACATATCATAAAGTCATATTTTTAAAATATACAGTTCAGTTGTCTTTAGTATATTCACAGTGCTGTACAACCATTACCACAATCTAATTTTAGAACTTTTTAGCACCCCCCCAAAAACCTGGTAAGCATTAGCAGTCACT